TAGGTTAGGTTCACAGGCTACTGCCGGAAAGTGGACATCCTTAAACAATAGAACTAGTCATTAAAAAACACTAAAAAGTAAAATACACACAAACAGTAACTCATTTTTACCCTCAGAATATTTGTAGTCTTAATGTATGGCAAAAGGTGAGGTAGTATTGATTGTAAGAAGCAGGGTGTGGTAAGTTTGGAGCCCTCCTGGCCCACCCCACCCACACATAAAATATTTACAGTGTAAACCTCAAAAAATCAAACTGCTCCCAACACAACCAATTATGTAAGTGTATTTTTGTAAGTGCTTTTATAAGTGTATTTTTGAGGTCGAAATGACTAATCTAAGTTTACATTATTCCTGATGGAATAAATTCATTCGGAAAGGCACTCGAACAGCCTTCTGGACTGAAGAAAGTTCGATATTTTGAGCTCAACTGTACGCCATTTAAAGTGCCCTAGAGTGATAAACTCCATATACAGTACACTCATTGTAGTCTTAATGAGGGAGAGGTGAGTAAGCGAGGTAAAAACAAATAAACGAGAGGAGAGAGAGAGAGAACGATAAGAGAACAGAGCCGTGAGTACTGTGTAAAAAAACAGACAACCGTCTGTATAGTTCATACACGTTCATGCAAACACCTTAAAATTGTGTACAAGTTGCCCTTTACAGTGGAAACAGTAAAATAAATAAAGAGCAACACTTCCATTTTAAAGTAACATTTTTAAGTGAATGATGATATTATTATTATTATAATCAAAAAAAAGAAGTGCTAAACCCACAAGGGTTGTGAATAGCTATAGATAGAGGGGAGGCATACAAAAGGAATATTTTTCTACAGTTTCCCCCAGTAACTGTGTTTGGCTAAAGAAAACATAATTCTTCTGACACTCCTACAAACCACTTGGTAGACACATATCAAAATTTTAGTCAATTTTTATACTGTGGATTTAGTACATGTTTGTATTACATAGTGTGTTATTATAAATTTGAAAAAAAATCATAGATGGATTAGGGGAAATGTTTATATTAACGTAATATACGACATTTAATGCATCCAAGAGATTGTAGGCATCAAGAGTAGAGAGACTCTCAGTGTTTTTAATGTGTACCTGCATCCCCAGCAGTGTGTAAGTATTTTTTAGGTACAGATGCACATAAGTATAATTATCAGAGTACATATAAAATATGTATGAAGGATGAGGTGAATCGTAGAGCTGACTAGTGAAATAGGTGAGGGTGCACTGAGGAGTCGTAAGACAAAGAACTTTATCTATGAGAGCAAAGAAGGGAATGTATGAGAGTAGGGTGGACCCCCGGTATTCGATGGCATGGGTATTTCGATAAATCCGGTATTCGATGCTTTTATTGCAAAATTTTGCCTGGGTAATCCGATAGAAAACCCGTATTCGTGCGATTCGTACGAGATGTGCCACGGTGGCCTGAACTGCCCCTTGTGTGCCAGTGTTTACAAGGCCAGCCAGTGTGCGCGCATCTAAGGATACATTCGGTACTTTCCCATATTATCACTGTTTTTTGGTGCTTGTTTCGCAAAATAAGTCGCCATGGGCCCAAGAAAGCTTCTAGTGCCAACCCTTCGAGAAAAAAGGTGCTTATGACTATTGAAATGAAGAAAGAGAAAATTTGCAAAGTACAAAGTGGAGTGCTTTGTGGGACCCTTGGTGAGGTTGTATAGAAAACCCCCCAATCAACCATCTCTACTATAGTAACCAGGAAAATGGCACTCAAGGAAGCTGTTCTTGCAAAAGGTGCAACTGTGATTACGAAACAGCGACCGCAAGTGTTAGAAAATGTTGAGAGACTGTTATTGGTGTGGATAAATGAAAAACAGATAGCAGGAGATAGCATCTCTCAAACGATCATTTGTGAAAAGGCTAGGCAGTTGTATGACGATTTGGTAAAGAAATTGCCTGGTGGCCTGGTGGTTAACGCTCTCACTTCACACGGCGAGGGCCTGGGTTCGATTCCCAGCCAGAGTAGAAACATTGGACGTGTTTCTTTCCACCTGTTGTCTATGTTCCCCATCAGTAAAATGGGTACCGGGGTTTATCGACTGGTGTGGTCCATCCTGGACACTGACCTAAGGACCCTGGCCCACAGACCGGGCCGTGGGGGCGTTGACCCCCGGAATTCTCTCCAGATAAACTCCAGATAAACTAGTGGTGATGTGAGTGAATTTAAGGCCAGCAAAGGTTGGTTTGAAAGATTTAAGAATCGTAGTGGCATACACAGTGTGGTAAAGCATTGGGGAGGCTGCCAGTTCAAGTCCTAATGGAAGGGATTCCCCTTCTAAACACGAACACCTCTCCTCTCCTCCTATCCCATCAATCATCACCAGATCTTCATTAAAGGTAAGTATCAATTATTCTATTGTTATTGTTGTTATTGTAATTATTCTATTGCATTAAGCTTAATATTTCATGTGTAAAAATTTTTTTTCAATACTTTTGGGGGGTTCTTGCATGGATTAATTTGATTTCCATTATTTCTTATGAGGAAAATTGATTCGCTTTTCGATATTTTCGGTATTCGATGAGCTCTCAGAAACGGATTAATATCAAAAACCGGGGGTCCCCTGTATAGTTATACCAATGCCTTGTATGGTTGTGAGGCATGGAGATGTCGTGTCTGAGGGCTGGAGGCAGTGGAGATGTCATGTCTGAGGGCAATGTGTGGTGTGAATATAATGCAGAGAATCAGTAGTTTGGAGATTAGGAGGAGATACGAATTACCAAAACTATTAAACAGAGGGTTGGGGAAGGGTATTGAGATGGTTTCGACATGTAGAGAGGATGAAACGAAATAGAAGACTTCGAGAGTACACAAATCTGTATGGAGGAAGGCGGGGGAGGGGCAGCCTAGGAAAGGGTTGGAGGGAGGGGGGGAAAGGAGGTTTTGTGGCGAGGGGCTTGGACGTCCAGCAAGCATCTTTAGCTTGTTAGACTGGAGCGAATGAATATGTCAAATGGCTTTTAGGTCTCGACGTGCTGTGCAGTGGGAAGCAAGGTAACATTTATGGAGGGATTCAGGGAAACCGGCAGGCCGGGCTTTAAATCCTTGAGATGGGAAGTACAGTGTCTGCAAATTTGAAGGGGGGGTGCTAATGTTGCAGTTTATAACTGTAGTGTAAAGGGATGCCTCTGGCAAGACAGTGATGGAGTGAATATGTTGAAATTTTCTTTCAGGCCACCCTGCCTTGGTGGGAAAAGGCTGATGTGTTAATAAAAAAAAATACGTACAGTATATATAAAATATGCAAAACTTTAAAACACTTGAAATTTTGTAAAGTTTCCAGAAATAATAGAAGAAGTGCTCATGGAGAATGTAAACAAGAACGGTGGGGCTTGCCGAAATAGAAAGACAGGGGGCCGTATAGCAAGTTTTGGTCATTTGAAATTGCCGTATTTGTGGAACACCATCAGGCAAAATGCTGAAAGCGGGCACTACTGTATATAATTCAGAAAAGCCAGTCAGAATGATACACTGTTTTTTACAAATAATAAGCTAAAATAAAAGGATTCTCAGAAGTAAGCTTGAAAAAACAATACACAAATAATAAACAGTAACATGGTATGCGTAAAGAGTTTTTATGAGGATAGTGAGGCTCAGGTTAGGATGTGTAAGAGAGAGGGAGATTACTTTCCAGTAAAAGGTAGGTCTTAGACAGGAATATGTAATGTCACCATGGTTTTTAACATATTATAGATGGGGTTGTAAAAGAAGTAAATGCAAGGTGTTGGGGAGAGGGTGGGATTAAATTATGGGAATAAATACCAAATGAGAGTGGCACAGCTGCTTTTTGCTGATGATTCTGTGCTTTTGGGGATTCTAAAGAAAAGTTGTAAAGTTAGTGGACAAGTTTGGAGGGTGTGTAAAGGAAGAAAGTTGAAAGTGAATATAGATAAGAGTAAGGTGATTAGGGTATCAAACAATTTAGATAAAGAAAATATGGACATCACATGGAGGAAGGAGTATGGTTTATGAAATGGGTTTATGAAGGATAGTAAACCATAGAATTGATGAAGGAAAAAGAGTGAGTGGTGTGTTAAGGTATCTGTGGAGTCAAAGAATGTTATCCATGGAGGCAAATAAGGGAATGTATGAGAGTATAGTGGTACCAACACTTATATGGGTGTGAAGCTTGGGTTGTAAATGCTGCAGCGAGGAGGCAGCTGAAGGCAGTGGAGATGTTGTGTCTAAGGGCAATGTGTGGTGTAAATATTATGCAGAGAATTCGTAATGTGGAAACTAGGAGGAGGTGTGGAGTTACTTAAAGTATTAGTCAGAGGGCTGAAGAGGGGCTGTTTTGAGTAGTTTGGTTATTTAGAGAGAATGGAACAAAGTAGAATGACTCTCTCCAGGTAAACTCCAGGTAAACTTGGAGAGCGTATAAATTTTCTGGGGAAGGAAGGCGGGTAGGGGTCATCCCCGAAAAGGATGGAGGGAAGGGGTAAAGGAAGTTTTGTGGTTGAGGGGCTTTGACTTCCACCAAGTGTGCATGAGAGTGTTAGATAGGAGTGAATGGAGACAAATGGTTTTTGGACCTGATGAGCTGTTGAAGTGTGAGCAGGGTAATATTTTGTGAAGGGATTCAGGGAAACTGGTTAGTCGTACTTGACTCCTTGAAATGGAAGTACAATGCCTGCACTTTAAAGGAGGGGTTTAGGATATTGGCAGTTTGGAGGGATGTATAAACTGTCGTATCTGAGCAACCACTGTAAAAACAGTGATTATGTATGAGTGATGTGAAAGTGTTGAATGATGAAAGTTTTTTTCTTTCTTTTTTTGGTTTTTCTTTCTTTTTGGTTACTCCTGCCTCGGTGGGAAACGGCTAACGTGTTAAAAAAAAAAATGGTACACAATTCATGATTCAATTTACTCATTCCTATTATCCTCATGATCAAGTTTGTTGTTTGTGAAGTCCTCTTAGTAGACAAAAACCTGGTATTAAGAAGAGATATTTGATTGCAGTTTGTGTGTTGTCACAGAGACAGACAGGGGTGCTGGCTGTGATTGAGGAGGTGAGCAGCCGTGTAGGTGGAGGTACAGATGCACTTATGCAACAACTCTCCTTCTCCTGTGGTGGACATCTCTCTTTGACATCAAAGGTGCCCGCCACGCTCACTCAGACAATAATATCCCCACCGACTCCTTCAGGTCAGTAACTACTTACATGGCTTTCTTTTTGCTTTATTTATCATTATAAAATATACAGCATCTTGCAGATACATTTAACCAACCACTTGAATACTTCAAGAAGAATTAAAGTTTCAGCAAAAATTTGCACACTATTGCCATGCATGTTACATAGCATTCTTTCCCAACAGCTAAAACCCTTTTCCAGGTTTTACTGTTAGGTGAACAGGGACATCAGGGGTGCAAAGATACTAACCCATATGTTTCACTGGACCCATGAATTGCACCAAGAACTTTTTGGTGTCTGTGTTTGCCTTGAGTGGAGGATTGTGTGATTGTTTTATTTGTAATTATAGGGTCAGAATTTTGTTCAAGGTGTCTTACCTTCATTGTTGTAAGGCTTTTTACCTTCTTTTACAATATTAGCTATACAAATGAACAACACTTCTATACTTTACAGAATTCGGCACTATGCTGGCTCTGTCACTTATAGCGTCTACGGGTTTATTGAGAAGAACTGTGATGCCCTGCACAGGGACTTGACGAGAGCCATGTACCGTTGTAAGCATCGTATCCTAAAGGAACTCTTTCCCGAGGGTGAGTTCTGCTCTCACACCCATCCCTAATAACTGTATTTCTTCTACTGTTACCCTTAAATAGGAAGCACTTACTGCTGTCACCCACATACTGATACACCTCTCATCCACACACTCCCATATACTAATACTCCTCTCACCCACACATCCCCATAAACTGACACTCCTCTCATGCACATATTGACACTCACACACTCCCCCATACTAACCTTCTCCTACCCACACACCCACCCACATACCAACATTAATCCTCTCGCCCACACACTCCCACATACTGACACTCCTCTCGTCCACACACTCCCAATATTGACACACTTCTCACCCACATACTCTTACATACTGACACTTCTCTCATCCACACACTCCCTTCATTAAAATCATACCACCACTGAATTAACTGCCTCAGATTATCTCTCTCCCTCCATTAATGCCTTATTACCTTCATCTGTGTTGTCCATTAAAGGAGTGTTTTAATGACAGTTGTAGGGTTCTTGATCCTATTAATTTTCACTACTCTCCTTTTCCTTGAGCTGACCCTGAATACAGTGGTCCCTCAATAATCGTCCATAATCCTTTCCTGGAAGTGGGACTATTATCGAAATGGACGATTTAACGAATCAATTTTTCCCATAAGAAATAATGTAAATTCAGTTAATCCGTTCCTGACACCCAGAAGTATTAAAACAAAAATTTTTTTTACGTGAAATATAGATGTAGTACATAAACAATACACTGGCACATGATGAATTAAACATTAACAGAATAACACTTACCTTTATTGACGATTCTTCTTTGTGTATGGAAGACTGGAGAAGGAGACAGATTGGATGATTTACTTTGGAAGGAGAATCCCCTTCCATCAACACCTCGGGTACCAATTGCTTTTCTGGGGTTACTTCTCTTCTCTGTTTCTCAATGCCACTAGGACCACCTTGAGAGTCACTGGAGTCCTGTCTCGCAAAAAAACTGTCCAGAGAGCTCTGTTTCTGGCGTCTCTTTAAAACTTCCCTAAAATGGGCCAAGACTCTGTCACTGTACAAGTTGCCGATATGGCTTGCAACATCCTTCTCTGGGTGATGTTTCTCCATAAATCTTTCCATCCTACCCCACATTTCAAAAATCTCCCTAATTTCTGAATAAGGCACCTTCTTCCATCTCTTTTCCTCCTCCTCTGCAGCAAGATTCTGAGCTGCGATCTGTTGCTCTTCCTGCTGAAGCTCTTGCAGCTCCTCAGTGGTGAGCTCTTCGTGTATGCCAGAACGCTTTTTAAATCTCTCAAACCAGCCTTTGCTGGCCTTAAATTCACTCACATCACCACTAGTTGCAGGCAATTTCTTTACCAAATTGTCATGCAACTGCCTAGCCTTTTCACAAATAAGCAACGTCATAAGACTATCTCCTGCTAATTGTTTCTCATTTATCCACACCAATAATAACTTCTCAACATCTTCAAGTACTGATGATCTCATTTTTGTCACATCCTTGCAACAACAGCATCCTTGATTTCCTTTTTCCTTGGCTATGATGGAAGATATGGTTGTATAGGATTGTTATTCATCCTGGCCAGTTTGCCCACACGTACGCCACTATCATATTGTTCAGTGATGTTTTTCTTAAATTCAATTGTATTTCTCACCTTCTTTACCAAAGGCTGGCACTAGAGCTTTCTTTGGAGCCATGGTAGCTATTTAGCGCTTAAATAACTTTTCAAGCGCTAAAATAAATGGAATACAGTATTATGAAATATTTCGCTGGAGCACGTGAGGGGACCGTCGCTCACTGTAAACAATGGCACACTGGCTGGGAAGGAAAGGCCGAGGCGGCTCAGAGGTGAGTACGCGTCCGGGGAACGAAAGACTATTACGAGTTACTGGACCATTTGCACCCAAATTTTTTTGAGAAAAAAACGGACTTTTTCCAAAAAAGGGGACGACTTTCAGCTGGACGATTTTTTGAGGGACCACGTACACCCTTTTTTTCCCAAATCATTATAGGGCCCCCCATGAGTTGGGAAACACTTTCCTACAAAGCTTTTCTTTTTAAATTTAGAATTTATACAGAAGGAGGGGTTAAAAATTTAAATTATAGTAATAATTTATTTATTTGTTTTAAGGAAACCCAAGAGGGGACCCCCTTGAAGAGAGCCGCCCGTCCCCTCTCAGGTTTGTCTCGTGGGTCCTGTGAGGCTTTACGGTCTAAGATCTCCCTCATAGCTTGTACAACCCAAATGAATCAAGCAGCCAAATCTTGGAGACGCTCAGTCTTACACCAGTAAGTACCTCGGGTGAGTGTCTTACTGTATATTTACGTTGATTCTAGGGGTTTTCCTATTGTTTTTTTTTTTGGTGTGCTAATTGTGTCCTAATGGTTTTTATGGGTCTTATTCATTATGTACTGTGCAGTAATACTGAAAATTGAAAACCCTTTGACGCGCAACCTAAAATCCAGGTGTTTCCTGATGAAAAAAATTTTTTTAAAAAAAAAAACAAAAATTATTTTTTTTCTTAGAAATGATAGAGAATCTTTTTGATGGTAATGACACCAAAAGAACAAAATTGATGGAAAAGTTATGGAAAAATGCCCCTTGTGAATTTAGCGACCTCACGATTTTTAAAAAAATTTGGCATTTCGCTCACTTTTGAGCCCTATTTTGGGTGATTCCATTGTTTCAGTCGACCAAACTATAGCTATTTTTTTAGAACTTCCTTTTTTTCTATTGACTGTACAAGAAATCCCTTTTTACCGATTTCAATACCCAATAACAGGGTCAGAAATTTGCTTTTTGGCCAATTTCACGCAAATTAAAATAATGCCAATTTCAAAATAGGGTCCGAAAACAAGCAGCATTCCGGCTCAAAATAACATTTTCTTTTTTTCACAGCCACATCTCCAGCCCCCCTTCTATATTACTCTTGTTTCTTTTTTTGAATTTTTATTCAAACAAAAAATAGAAGATTTACTGTTTGCAACTACTGCAATATTGTAATAATTGTATAAATAAGTAACCCCATTCATGACTGCATATTAAATGGCTATTTTGGACATTTTTTGGACAATGACACTTTTGTTTACTTTGAACATCAGAAAAAAAATCAAACTTTCCCCAAATTTTGGCTCCATTTCATAGAAAAAAAACCAAATCAAAATCACCCTTTTTTAAAATTTGCTTCCTTTCTATCAACTGAGAAAAAAAATTAAAATATCCCATAAATACGTATGAAAATACACCAAAAAGTTGGCGTTTACATCCAAAAACACAATTGGAGTTTTTTTCTCTTTATCACTACGTGCTGCAGGACTTTTTTATATGGTGCTATGACCACACAGACCATTCTCTCAAGTGGGTTACCAGTTTCTCCTGCTTGATTTGAACCGTAGAATTTTTGAGTAATATACGTCAAACAATTGGCTCGTAAGCGATATATACGACCGAAAAGTCAAAGGTTAGTACGTGTATTTGGCACTTTTTTTTTGGGCCCAAAAACATTGGTTTACCGCTACAAATAAAATTTTTCTTACTAAAAACTTACAACAATTTTTGGAAAAAAATTTCCCAGTAAGAGTTTATTAATTAATAAGATAAAAATATTTAAAAATCCTTGTACAAAATGTCTCTTCTCTTTAAACACATGGGCCGATCCCCCCGAGGGGGGGTGGCCCAAAAAGGGAAAAATAAAATTTCCCCTTTTTACATTTAGAATAAAAACAGAAAAAATTACTACCCTCTTGCCCCCGGCATTTTAGGCCCTTAAAACACGCATGTTTGAGGAAAAATTTTGTTCCATTTCCCCAATGGAGATAAAAGGAAATTTCAACGGGAACGAAAGAAAGAAATAGAAGAAAACCCAGTGGGTTTTTTTATAGCTTGACATGATTTAGTGTGCCCTAAAGTAAGAAAGTATAAGACGTACCTTAAATCTTGCTTTTTTTTTTCTTTCTTCTTTTCAACGTACCACCTATCCCACCCCAGGGGTGGCCCAAAAAGGGAAAAAAGAAAGTTTTTCCCTTTAAATTTTAATACGTAGGGGCCCCCCTTTACCGGGTTAGGTCCCGGGGTGTCGCCGGAAAACAGACATCGCCGAAAGGCAAAAAACTCCATTTTTTTTCCATTTATAAATGCAATAAATCCAGACAAGTTTACACTAAATTAATTTAAATTAGTAATAAATAGGGAAATTTAAAAAAACACAAAGTAAAAAACAGTCACATAAATTCATTTCTTTTTTAAAGTACAGTGGACCCCCCCCATAAGAAAATTAAAACCGTTCCTGAGAGCTCTTGTTTTTGCAAAATTATCGTTAGCGAAGATTTTCCCCCTAAAAATAAAGGAAAAAATTAATCCGTTCAAAACACCCCCAAATATGAAAAAAAAAAATTTTTCCACAGAAATATTTAAATTTTTAATACACCAAAATTTAAAAAGGCATGCACTTACATGACACTTACCTTATTGAAGATCGGTGTATTGATGGGGGGGGAGGAGGAGGAGTCTTATTTTTTAGAAGGGGGGAAACCCCTTCCATTTAAACTTGAGGGGTCAAGTCCTTTTCTGGGGGGTTTCTTCCCTTTTTCTTTTTAAGCCCCTAACCAGCTTCAGAGTCATGGACTTCTGTCGCACAACATATCTGTCCATAGGGCCTGTACCTCTCGTTCCTTTATGACTTCCCTAAAGTTTTCACAACAGTGTTTTAAAGTCACCACACGGCTTGCAATAGCTTGTTAGGGTGATTGTCATCAAAAAAGGTTTTCACTTTAAACCACTTTCCACACATATCCTTAAAATTTTAAAATAGGGAACTTTTTCAATTTCTCTCCCCTCCCCGAACCAGTTTTTCCCCAGGGCTGGCCTCTTGTATTGAAGTTGATCAGCCTCACAGTGGGTTTGTTCTTCTTGTCCCCCTCCCCAACCTTCCACTCCCCCCACTAACCTCCAACCCCAAGGACTCTCCCCAAAACCACAATGGATTCCTCAACTGGCATACCCTCTCAGGGTTTTTGCCTAAACCCTTTCAAAAAC